CATTTGAGAAGACACATCTCACATCACCCAGGTTTTGCTAAGAGCTGATCCCAGTTTAATGTGTCTCTGTGTCGCTCTGACTATGCTGAAAGCACTGATTTCATTTCTGGATACCCATCGTGTACTTCGGACTCTCGTAGGCATTGCTAGAAGCATTGTCCTCTGAAGGAAGAGCGAGGGCAGCTCCTCTGAAGGCATCATTTCAGGCATCCTCATGAGCAGCAAATGGACGTTTCTGCTCCAGAGTTTAGAAGGTGACATGGAAGAGCTTTTTATTTTGCTCAACAGGATTTCTTCCTGAGCAGTTTCCCAGGAATCCCACCACAGGAGGTTTGGAAGGGGTCGAGAAGAGCTTCTCGTCACTTGACCCCTTAATTCCCATCATGCAGTCCTGAAGGATCCATCAGAGGTTGTGGCCTTGCCCTGTTATGACCCTCCCAGTGAAGGAAGAGTGCTGTGATTCCCCATCAGTCCGTTCATTCCTGGGCTGGGCAAGCCCAGGTGATCCTGTCTCTCCTCCTGCGCCTGAGTTTCAGGCAACGCATCACCCTTCCTGTCCTCCTCTGGAGGCCTCCCTGTTCCTCCTATTGAGCTCTTGTGCATTTCATGTCTGTCAACGGTGGCACTATGAGGAACAGGTGGGATCTCCAGGTCTCTTCAGCACTGCCTGCACTTCCCCAGTCAAGTCAACCATGATGTGTGATTTTCCCCGTCTCCTGAACTACGCATCCCGTTGCCACTGCGCTCCCTGACCTCAGAATCCCCCTTGCCTTGTGGTGCCCTCTCACTGCTCCGCGATTTCAGCTTGCCTCCAAGACGGCCACCTGCCTGCCCTTGCTGCACGTGGCTGCCTCTCTCACCTAGGCAGAGCACCAGGCATGGCATTATTTTTATTATTATTATAACATTTCTATGCCGCCCCTTGCCGAAACCTCAGGGAGGCTTACAACATGATAAAATACATTGAGATACAATAGCACATATTAAATTAGCATTAAATACAAAAATACAAAAAATACATTGATTTACAAATATAAAATTAGAGTTTCCAGTATAAAATATATAGGAGGAGAAAGAGAAGGAAGAAGAAGTTGCCTGGCCAGATCATATGTTTTAACAATTGAAATGATGTTTAAATAAAAAGGTCTTTACCTGGCGCAGAAAAACCAGTAACGACGGTGCCAAGCNGAAATGATGTTTAAATAAAAAGGTCTTTACCTGGCGCCGAAAAACCAGTAACGACGGTGCCAGGCGGACCTCTTTGGGGAGTGAGTTCCATAGGCTGGGCGCCACCGCAGAGAAAGCCCTCCTCCGGGTACTTACTCTCCTAATTTCTTTCATGGAGGGTTCCCGGAGAAGGGACTCTCCCGCAGATCTCAAAGGGCGGTCGGGCATATACGGACGTAAGCGCTCGTTCAGGTTAGCTAGGCTTGAAGGTCCCAAGAAAAAACCTTCCTTTCTAATGAATAACCAATAGCACATGTTTTCAGCTTCTTCGCTAGAAATGTGAGAGATGCTAAAGCAATTGTGGGGCAGGGTAAACCATGGCTGAAGGTTTCTAATAGAAACTCCGCTCCGAGTTGGGTTTCCATGAAAAGAAGGGAGCCCAAATCCAGCAGAGTCTTTCAGCAGAAGCTAGGAAGAGACCCTTTTCAAAGATCAGCAAAGGAAATCCATGAGTTTCTTCCCCTCCCACTGTTCTCAGATCCCGGCCTGAAATCCCAGTGGTGTTTCGTCTGTCATCTTTCCGTGTTGCGTGATCTTTCCTTCTCGCCTTCCAGGTGTTCGCTTTCCAGAGTCCAGCAAAGAGCAGATTCAAGATCAGAAGCGATTGCTGAAGGGTGCTGCAGCTTTTCTGGTGTCCTACCAGATCCCAGGCTTGGTAAGAGATGTGGGAGGGACAGGGAGCATGGGAGCAGCCTCGGGTGGGGAGGAACACCAGCGCATCTCCGGAATTTCCCTCCAGGTGGGGTAGGAATGCATGGCCAGGTTTTATTATCATTGTTGTAAAGCAGCCAGAGAAATTGTGCTGTTGGGTGGAATCAGAATGAAATTAATAGCAATAATAGCCATCGTGATCATTGTAAAAATCTTCTGTGCCAAAGCACAAACACTGCTTCAGTGAGTCAATAAAGTGCTTTCCGACCAGCATTTTTAAAGCGATGGAGGTTTCCTTTCTGCCAAGAACTGCATTCAAGACAATGTCATAAAAAGAGCAAAATCGAAGCAATTACAAAAGCAATAGTATATTGTGACTGCAAAATAAATCTGAAACTGCAGCAAAACCCTCCACTAGAAGAATAAGCGTAGGACCAGCTAGAAAAGATTTGATTTCCTAGAACTCCTTGGAGTACAGTGCATTTTGGTAAACTCTCATTTGAAGCAGCATTGTGTCAAATTGGAGCTGAACTTGGCAATAGACAGGAGCAGATACCACAGATAAAATAATGATGTGTTTTCCTTACGCTTCTCTCATTCTGCATCTTATTGAAAGAGTGGTCAAACACTAGGACAATCCATGAGCCTTCAGCAGTGCTAATATTAGCCTATAAAATAGCAAACTCTGTTCTCCGAGTGCCAGAAATTAAGTAGCCAGAAATACAAAATCTGCACGCGAGAGGACAAGTGTTGGCGGCCTTGAGGAATCGTCAGGTTTGCAAAAATACAAAAGGCATCAGAAGGGACACCGTAAAGAGTTCCATAAGGATTGAACATGTTTAGTGACTGCAGTAAGTTGCTACTCGAGGACCAGGAGGAATGCAATGGAATATCACAGAATACAGAGATTTTCTTCTTGTATTCTGTTTATATTAAGAAAATAAGAAAAAAAGAGTCAGAGCGAACCCTTGTTGCATGTAGGAACGGGGACAAAATTCCTTCCATTTGCATTCTAATGCAGATCTGCGTATTCCCAACACTTTGGAGCGTGCTGTGAGTCCAAACACAGCTGTCCTTCAGATTGCACCCTTTTCCAAATGTTGCCCTGGAGCGCTCTGGCGAAAGCTGTGTACAAAACCAAACACGAGAAGGAAAACACCTTTCCACAAAGCAGTCGGGATGTGGCTTCCAGGGGACGTGGCGCTTGACGGAGAAAAACCCTTGCCATCCCTGACGGTTTTTGCTTCTTCCGCGCAGGTCAAAGACTGCCTTGACCACACCATGCTGCCGATGGACGGGGCCACGCTAGCGGAGGCCATGCACCAGCGGGGCATCAACATGCGTTACCTGGGCAAAGTGGTGGAATTCATCAGCAAGACCCCCACCCGGCAGCAGCTGGACCATATCTATGTAAGCTTTGCCCCTTCCCACTCCCATCATCAACGGAGGCCCTACTTTATTAACACAATGCTTTGATTAGCAGGTGTTGCTGAAGATACAAGCAGTAGCAAATCTGTCGGCCAACTGTCCCAGCCTCTAGGGCGCCCGGAGGATGATGGGCTGTGTTCTCCCATCATCTCCACCTATTGGTGGGCTCCTTGGGAAGAGGGCCCCGTAGTGAAGCACCATCATGGGACCCTAGCTTGGGAAAGGCTGAGAGAACTGAGTGCTGAAATCTTGCTGGATTTTACCCCGGACACATCTTTGCGGGAATGAAACCCTCGTGGATTTTGGAAACGGGGTCAGAGTCCCCCTAGGATTCTTCTAGGCTGGATTCATTGCGGGCTTCCCAACGTGGCAATCCTGGGATTTGTAGCAACAGCTTCCCACAGTTCCTTGGGGGAACAAGCTGTTTTTTCAAAGCAGTTGGAACGTGCTGCCTAGATGAACTGGGAACAAGACCAGGCATGCAAAATTGGCCAGGGGTCCACATATTTCTGCCCCCTGCAGATATGCACGTGGTCTCATTCCGTTTGGCCCCTTCTATAACCCTCACACTATGTGCTGGAATAAAAAGCAAGTAGCTTCTACTCATGTAGATGCGGTATTGTTCTAACACACACCCCCTTCTGCCTCCTGGAGGAAGGGTCTCAAACACCCATCCAAAACCTTCTTGTAAACCAAGGATTAATTTAGCAAGCGGTGCTTGCCTGTCTTGACGGTTGCTTTTTGTCTCTTGGAACAGAAAATAGGAATCATGGAACTGATCACTCGTTCAGCCAAGCATATCTTCAAGATATACCTGCAGGTACACATTGGATCATCTCTCCCTGAACGCCTCCCCTCGCGTGCCCTTCGCTTAGCAGGGACGTCTCTGCCGCTTCCTCTCTGCCTCCTCCCCTTGATCAAGGGAAGCCATTTCCTCATTAGTCAGTTTGGGCAGGTTGCCTAGCAACAGGGAGCACAATCTCATTAAGTCCAAAAATAGGCGCAGACCTGCTCGCGGGAGGGGGTGGGGGGGTGGATGAGTCCTGTGCCCACGACTGCAGCAACTTTCTTGTGTGCTAGCCCATCCGTGGTTTCCTCCTCCTCCTCCTCCTCAGTGCTTCCGCCCAGGAGGAAAGGATGCTGAAGGGGCAAAAGGCCTTGGACCACCCCCCCATCTAAAAGGGGTCTCATGCAGGCTGTTCGTCCCTTTCCCCCCATCCCTCCCGCCTCTCTGCCTTCCCCCTCGCCGTGGCTCAGGCACATTCCGCGATCTGGCCGGGTTTGTTTCTGAAACGGTGAAACGCTCTGCATGCCGGCGAGGCTCCGGCCACCCACCACAGTTGTGTGTGTGTGCAGAATTGCGCATGAACGTCAGGCTCTGATGCAGGCACTGAGCAATGCCCTTGTCCTGGAAGTGGGGATCTTTGGATCCCCGGAAGTGGAGGGTGCGAGAAGACGCAGTTCCCAGGCCTCGGCAGTGGGTGAGACCGGCCTAGAAAAAGATATCCGTCAGAGCAGCTTAGCTAGAGATTAGCTGCCTGTCCTACCGTGGCATCTGTTTGCCTCCTGCCTCCAACCTGGAGCCCACTAGACATGTTCTACTGCAACTCCTATCATGCCCAATGTGATGATGGGCTTGGAGTCCTACACATCTGCACAGCAGCAGCTTCTGGGAGGGGACACGAGACAGTTTCTCTGTGGGAGATTGTGCTAAAGCTAAAACTGCAGGCTAATCCAGCTGGGCTGCTCTTACACAGGCGAGGCACAAACTCCCTGAGCGTGGCCAGACTGGGGGACGCACCTCTCTCTGCTGGGCACCAGCACAAACGATCTCAGGCTGTTATTTTTAAAAAATGGCTGAGACCATCCTCTCAGTCAATGGTCTGGCAGTGAAGTTACAAGCCGGGCTTAAAGCAGGACACAAAGCAAGAGAGAGGCCTGCTTTGGGTGTGTCTCTGTTGTCGTCTTCTGCTAGAATACTCCGCTTTCAGTTTGTTCAGGGGAGGACCTGCTGAGCCCCACTTGGCTCGTTTTCACCCTTTCTCACTTTTAAAAGCGGTCCTTTGGGGTTTGCATCGGCTTTTGAGCGTCACATATTTGCTCTTCGGCAAGCGTAAATTCTCGTACTTTGACCAATGGTTGGGAACGACCCAGAGAGCTGCAGCTATTGGGTGGCATAGAAATAAAAGCAACATTAATGGATGAATAAAGCCAGGCAGGAAAACACTGTTTCCATTGGCTCAGAGAAGCAGAAAAAGCACAGATGGGTCTGTGCCTGCGCCCCCTTCCCACAATCAGACTTTCCTGGGCCCCCAGCCCAGTAAAAACTCTGTCTTGTGCCCCACAGGGTGTGGAGCTGTCAGGCTTGTCCGCCGCCATCAGCCACTTCCTGAACTGCTTCCTCAGCTCATTCCCAAACCCCGTTGCCCACCTTCCTGCCGACGAGCTGGTCTCCAAGAAGAAGAACAAGAGGAGGAAAAACCGGAACCTGGGTGCTGCTGACAACACGGCCTGGGCCACCATGAGCCCTCATGAACTCTGGAAGAACATTTGTTCCGAAGCCAAGAGTTACTTTGACTTCAGCCTGGAGTGGTGAGTCCACACCTGTGGTCGCAGCTTCTCTGGGCCACCCTGGAAGGTCCTGTCGGCATTGTGTTGGCTCCAGAGGAGAATGAGATGTCGCCACCTTGTCTGGACGGCCTCATTTTCTCCTCCATCGTGGAAGTCAGTGAGATGTGGGGCAGCCCAAGCAGTCCCCCAATCAGTCCAGCCAAATCTGCAGCAGGTGGCTACCTTGGGGTCTAATGGGATTAGGACAGGGGTGGGGAATCTCTGGAGTGTGGCCCTGATGCAGCGTGGTCACAGTAGAGGAGGGGCTGTGTGTGTGTGTGTGTGTGTGTGTGTGTGTGTGTGTGTGTGTGTGAGAGAGAGAGAGAGAGAGT